GAATGGTCTCCACTGGCGAAAAAGACTTACTGTTATGCCAACACCTCCACTCAAAACCTCACAATTGAGGTCAGCTAGTCACAGAGGTCATGGCCTCAAATTGCGACCAACCCAACACCGAAACTCCGTTGATAACTTTACTCCGTTATCTGGAACGGCCTTATTTGTTTGATTCTACGTGTATTTATTTGCATAATACGACAACCTCCCAGCGGGCAGTACTCCACAATCCTTTTAGAAGCGGAGAAGGCCATTGTATCGTGGTTTCCCTTACCCAGTTTGGAAAGGTATGAATTGAAACCATTCTCAATACTGTCTGGTTTACATTTACACGATAGGAGGGGTAGTCGTGCGTTTCAAGTTGTCGACGTTGCTAAAATATACCGGAGCCGACATGGTGGTGGTGTGCATCTTCTAAATACATCTAGTTGTGGAACATACCCTTCCTGATTATGATGAGCGTCAAGCCATTGCTGGAAGGGCATCTCGTTGCGACGTGCAGCTGTTTTGGTGGGACAATTTGCCTACGCTTTTAGCCCTGCATTTGACAACCCGAAGAGTGTTACTCTTAATGCTTTTCCTCCGGAACTGACGGCTCTCTAGTCAAACTCGGACCCTAGATCTGCCGTATCTAATTTGGATCCATGTCATACCTAGGCTGCGGACGCTCTCATCGTTGGGTTGAGATGGCCTGCTCGTCCGATTCGAACGTGAAATGCAAATTCGTATTCTAATACCCTATTCACCAGGGGATTACCATTGTGGGCAGCCCTAGTCTTATGGCGTCTTGTACTATGATAAGCCGCCCAACATAGCGGCTACAAGGTCTGACTTCCGTCTACATCTACACTAGAGTCTAGACCCCCTTCTGTGTTTAAGCGAAAATGGGAACCCAAACCAGGGTGGGGTTTCTCACCATCGAAGGTTGCAGAAGCTCATTCAAATTCAGCTTCTCGTGTTTGCCAACAGCCCCAGATAAGCACAACGAGAATAACATCTGCACGACACTGCCATCCATACAAGAAAGCAATCATTCTTACTTCATTTATGTTTATGTTATTTTGAACCTCGAAAAACCCTCTTTATAAAAACTGGCAGGTTCGTTCGAGAAAGGCATTGGGACCTTATAAGCAAGGTAGTGTTTCTGGATTGGTAACCACAAACAATGCTACTGGCCCCAAGAAACCCTCCCATCATTGGGAATTCTGACAGGAAATCATTCGTTTTAGGGACTTGAGACCACTGACTTGAATGATATTGTTTTGATTAGCGATATGGACAGTTCCCGATCCCTCATAAACAGCCTGCTCGTTTTGTAAACAAAGAACCACCATGCTCCTTGATGGCCGGAGCGTGCCCCCCACGCTCGAAAATCTGTCATAGATTTAAAACCAGGGTGTTTCTGGTCACCCTCTTGAATGATTGTGGTGGCATTAGTAAACGATTATAACTTCCCAAGGCGAGACGCGGAGTATTCTAACCTTACCCGTCAGCTTATCCGTTTAGGATCACGAATCGTATAACGAATGTGCAAGGTTCAACTAAAGGTTTTATCTGAAGTATGTATAACTGATTACACCGATCGTGCTTCATGCTGCTATTAGTTTATCTCAGCCTTTTCTCCAGGGTATCTGGGGCCATCGAGTACACTATTCAAAATACGGTTGATCCGCCTAAAAATCACCCAATTAGAAAGTGGCTCTCGATTCACATACCACATACCATCCACAAGGATGTCCGCTCCGTTGATGTATCTTCCAGCCGGACTACAAAGTAAAATTACAGCCCCCACTAATTCACTCGGGTCGCCCATCCGTCCCATAGGATTTCGCGCTGCCCAAATGTGGCGCGTACCCTCCAGTCCTTCACCTGCATTCAGGATCGTATCCATATAGCCAGGACTGATACTGTTCACTCGTATACCATACCGTGCCCACTCTGCTGCCAATGAGCTTTTGAGCTGGAGAAGTGCTCCCTTGGATACGTTATACGCCACCTGGGGTTGGGGGTAATTCACGCGATGTGCAGAGATGGATGCAGTAAAAACTATACTGCCTCCACTAGCCTGTTGGATCATTTGTCTAAATACCATACGATAAGAATCGCGATTCTAGGTCCGGAAAGTCAATACTTACTTCCCGACTGCTTGGGCACATAGCCAGCTTCCCGTAGTGTTGATATCGAGGATTCGTCTCCATTCATCCTTGTTCACTTCGGTAGCATGTGTGCACCCAACAACCCCAGCAAAGCAGAGCAACACATCAATTTTTCCAAAAGATTGGACAGTGCGCTGTACGGCACTATCGATGGCTTGATCGTCGGTCACATCGACATTTTCTGTGAAAATTTTCGAAGAGGGGAAGTCTGCACGTAGATTGTTGATTGCCACTTGTGACGAGTTTAGGGATCCGGTGACATCAAAAAGGCATAATCCTGAAAGGCCGTGCTCGAGAAGGGCGCGTGCAGATTCGATGCCCAATGCACCCGCACCCCCCGTCACTAGATAACATGAATTAGTTTCATAGGGACTGGGCTGATTGAAGTAAAAACCAATGGCATTTCCTTTCACGGAGAACCGCTCGATGGCTCTTGATGACGGAATCAACGAAGGATCCTCAGGAATCGAAGCCGTCAAAGGATTAGAGGCATCAGAGAGGACCATGTACGGAAGCGTGCGGCTAATCAATTCTTCTCTGGAATGCGACATGGTTAGGGGTAGAAAGATTTTGTGATTACTGGAGGTCGGCGATGTTACCCGAAAAACTTCTGTTTTTCTCTTTTTCCTGATGCCTCGTGTATTAATCGTTTTTCAATAATTATTGAAATATTTCGCGATTGACTTTCGTTACTAATACTGAAACATTGTTCTATATTCTCGGGCATATAAAGTTTTAATATATACATTATATCCTGTTCAAGTACTCACGTAGAGTGTCTAGAAACATAAGACCGGTCATTAGGCACCTTCCAGTGACTTTCTCCACCATTCAGCAGAGAACGGCCAAGGCTGTTCTTCCAGCCACTCCTCCCAAGCAATCAAACGAGTGCTGACTCGTAGGCCTTGGGTAATAAATGGGACCAACTCTTGATTGACTTTCATTAAGTCATCCTCGCGGTCATCGTCGATATCCAGTGATACCTCCTGAAGACGAGCAATGTATTGTACCTGGGATGAGTCGTCCGCCCACCAACGTGAGCGCAGCATTCGGATGAAAGGGGGACTTGAAAAGACTGGGGATATCCTTTTCGCCCTGTCTTTGTCGACGACGCGTAAAAGTAAGTTATCCAAATGAGGTATAAGGATTTCTTTCCCTGGGTGAGAAACCAAGGCATCCATCAAGCGGTCATAATTGAAATTGCTGTCGATAGCTAGCTTGACAAGGGAGGTTGTCGCCGAAAGAACGAGAAGAAATTCAGGTAGTGCGATTTATTGTTGATAAAGGATCAATTCCCGGAGGTTGCTAAACTGTCCATAAAACTCCAATGGTTAGGCCCATGGGGGGAACCCGCATTCTAGTTCGTTGTTGTTGTCCGCAACATGGAGTTCTTCCAGTGCAGGAAAGAACAAACCATGGAAGACAGGAGGGAAGGCAGGCCCGGTCAGAGTCAAACGGAAGTGGGTTAAAAAAGAGAAAAGTAGTATTCTCGTTCTGGAAAACGTCTTCTTCCGTCATAGCCTGAATGCCGAGTGCACACCGTTGAATCAACGGGCACTGTCGAATAATGGTATGCCAAGTTCCAACATTCACGTAGTTGCCAAGGCACAGGCATGTTAATTGCGACCAGGGAAATTGAGTATTGACCTCTCCCAAGGACAAGTCATTGTTTATTTCGATTGCCAGATTCTTCAAACGTGGAGCGTCTTTGAAAGCTGAGAATGATGACATATCGTCCAAGTGATGGCAAAAGCGAAGTTTTAATGTTTCTAACGTTATGAGTCGTCCTGGGGTCATTTGGAGAAACTGAAAGAGTTCTGCCTCCGAACTCATGTCGAGACTGAGTGCGCGAAACACGTTTGAATATGGAAGGAGAAGTCGTTGGACCAAGGGATCGGTATAAGATTGCGAAGGAATAACTTCAAGGCTTTTGCGTTGTTCAAGTTGGGATAAAGGGAGCAACCGAATTGACGCTGAGAGTTGTCGTTTCCCGAGGCAACCCAGCCAGAGTTTCAGGGATTCTGTAAAGATAGTACGGGTGTCTCCTATCTTGAAGAAGCCAGACTCATCCCAGAGCTCCGATTGTTGTAGTGCAACCTTTCTCCATCTTGAACATATCTGGCAGAGCAAGAGGGGCGCCAGGTGCTGATGAGGTGCCCGTTCCTCAGTAAGGCAACAGAAGAATATCTTTTGAAGTATTTCGACGGGTATCCGGTGTGCTGGGCACCCACAAAATGGAGGGAAATCGTCTCTAACGGACTCTCTCTTTCTGCAAACGCGGTAAATGGAAACTACATTACATACGTATGTGATGAGATAACCTGCACCGATACATAATAATAGAACTTACGGTTTTGAGCCATTACAACGATTCGTTCTTTTGGGCCAAGATGTTCAACCAGGGAAGGGGGGATAAGGGTATATATGCACCTACAAGTCGCGAGGCTTCGTCTTTTAAAGACGAAATTCGGGCCGCTTGGGCGTCGAGGGGCCTGGAAACGCTTTGAGCTTCAGTTCAAGGTCACGTCATTTTAGCCCAGCGCTGTCACACTCAGTAAAAAATAAAGTCAAACTTTAGTCATGAGATTTAATTTTGCCCAAATGTAATTGTCAAGAGCCAACCCAAAGTAGTTAGAAATCATTCATATCCTCCCAAATGGCCAAATCCACATTGAAAGTTGATAAAATCTTGATTTTGGATTACCTTTTTTACTGACTTTTGTGTGACTTTTCGTTGACTTTGTTAAATTCGTGGACTAAACACTGACTAAGCATGACTTTACTTTTTACTGAGTGTCACATGTCACATGTCATGAAGGGGTTGAAGAAATCCAAACCACATATGCCTGCCTAGCTCAATCGGCTAGAGCGTCAGACTTTTAACCTATGGGGTTGAGGTCATCTGAAGGCTGCGAGTTCGACCCTCGCGGTGGGCTACTCTTTACTTTTTGAGGAAGTATGGAAAATACCAAAAAAGAATGAACTTTCTCAAAGCAAACTCTTTTTGAAAAGAGGGTTAAATTTTTAATCAGGTTAAAGTGTGAATGAAAGGGACTTAGGGTCTGTTTGGTATCCATAATACAATTGTATTATCTTGTATTATGTATTATTGACAGCTAGCCCATATTATTCCCATGGTGGATCACTGATGGTCCAAAGCCTTCCAGCCAACCCTGACGTTATCTGATCGTGATTAGATTACTTCTTGCAACACACTATGCCACCTCCTCTGTCTGATGAACGTTGTAGGCAGCTCATTGTAGCTGCTGCATATGCTATGCAAGTTGCAGGAGTGGCAATAACACTCTATTCAAGCCCTTTGTACTGGAAACAGGAGTACCATAATTCAAAGCTGTCTGGTGCAGAATGGGTGCAGGAATTGCTAGAGGGACACCCTGACCGGATCTGGACAGAGCTAGGAGTTAGACTACATGTATTTCCAATCCTGGTCCACGAGCTGCAGCTACTTGGCTTGGCAGATGGGAGATCAGTGGGAGTAAAAGAGCAGATAGCCATTTTCCTCTATATGTGTGTCACTGGCCTTTCAATTTGACATGTGGGGGAAAGGTTTCAAAGATCCAATGAAACTATATCAAAGTAAGCATTGATTAATCTATTATTAAACTACTGACAGTTTCACCCAGGTATTTTCAATGTGTCCTTGCAGTTTCTCTTCTCTGATGGATCAAAGCTTAGGGCTCATTGTGTGAAATCTTAGTGAGGAAGGAATAGAATAAAGGAGAGACAATGGGTCATCTCAGC